GGCAATTTTAAAAATCGTTGGAATGTTTTGCAATGATTTATCATTGCTAGGTCGGCTAATCAACTCAAAATCAACAGTATAATGCACATGCTTTGCTTTCCATTTGTTTATCCATTACAAAATTGTAACTTATCGAGACTAGCGACTACGCAACACTTCAGATGCGATTTTTAATACGATTCCATGCTATGACAATTATTTATTGGATTTATTCAAATCTCTCGAGCAGTTATGACATCTACGTCCGGTCCAGAATTGAATCTATATATGATATTTTATCTATAACTTATATTATTCCAGAAGATGTTTTTAGAATACCTTTTGATTACATGCTTATCGTTATCAATTCTTCGACAATCGGAATTCTCTAGGTACTATCTTACCGGTTTCCTATAGTAAGTCAAAACAGATTCTGTTCTCATTGTAAACGGCACGTTAAAGATATCCAGCCAAGTTTCCGGTTCCAAAACGTTCGCGAGTAGGTGAAAAGTGTTAACATGTGTGCATGATACGGAAAGTTGGCGTCGCACGCGCCTGACGTTGGCGGTCATGGACATTGTATGTAGAAAACTGGGCGATGAACACGCCACTTACAACTCTATCGTTATGTTAGTAAAGCTTATAACTGTCATCAACGCTATTTACGGAGTTAGCAGAGGCTGTAACTAGATATATATTTTTTTTTAAATTGAATGTTTATTGCTCAGAATAGTAGATTCGTCTGTCCTGATACCAAATGTTGAATAGCCAATTTTGTTCCTTTTGACTATCAAGATTCATTACTAATAAAATAATGTTAAAATAAGGCTTCGAAAACCGCGCAAGTTAATTTCTAATCTAACAAAAATAATCTGAATGTTTTAAAAATGTTGCATTGAGAATTTAATTAATTAGAATAAGTGCAATTATTGTCTGTTTTGACATCTTTGAGCGAAATTGTTCGATAGTACTTAAAACAAAGTCATGTGGGTACCATTTTTAATTGCCTGTATCAGCAGCAAAATTTGTATTTAGATGTTTTTAAATTAATTAAAACTAGCCCGACTAAAATGTCAATACATAATAACATTGTCAACCTTGTATTTTTATACACTTGAAAGATCTATCAATACTAAAAGATATAAAGTCGAAACCGGATATAACGACATTGAAGGGACCATATAACTTCGGACGTTATGTTCGATAGTTGTTAGATGCAATATACAAAAGTAGTCATATTATTGTAATAATGTATGTATTTAGTATGGTTATAGATAATGAATATAAGCATGTTTTCAAATAAAATATCGAAAAATGAAGTTATAAGTTTACTATGACAAAATTTAAGTACCTACAGTATATTTTGTTTTGCTAGAACAAGTAAAACGGTTAGTCGTTATAGCCGATGAATATCGATATGAACTTATCAATATTCCTTGGCTATAAGTCGTTTTAAGCGAAATTTTGCTATATCCGGTGTTGTTATAGGCGGTTTGTTTACTTGAGGGTTTATATAGGGTTTCGGTCGGAACCTTGCCAATTGGTTGTAATAAACCGACACGTCATTGTAAACGATGTCGTTATATTCGGTTTTGACTGTACTTACATTCCGGTTTGCTAATGAATCCGGTTCCGTAAGACCATTGTTTCAATAACGTGCTCATTAAACATTTATTTAGATGTTTGGGCTAAATAGTCAAATAACTGGTCCACGGCTGCAGCCTTGACATAGATATCAACTCTCCATGGATGGTTTATTATAAATCCTAACCAAAGCACGGACTTAGTAAGACTCGGTTTAAACCTAATTTTGTCTCATGTCTTCTTTTTATCAAACAAAAGTGACAGTATTAGTATTAGTCGAGTTTTAACTTTTGTCCAATTTTTGTAATAAGGTGGATATTTTTTCTACGTTATTTAGTTTGACTTGACATAAGGAGTGACGACCCTAGTAGTTCTTATTACGAATTTGTTCAATTGACCCGGGTTCGTTTAATTAGATTGGTGCTATTATTTCAGTGTGCGTTCTGCTAGCTTTGCCACTGTTTATTTTTTTCAATAGATGCAGTAAATTTCCTGTCTTGTACTTCAATGTTGATTTTACGTAAATAAATCTTTATAATTTACGTTAACTAATATAATGTATTAAGCGAAATATCCAATGCAATCCTTTATGTATAATAGAATAAAAAAGTAAGTCTCTATAAAGTAAGTATTGACATAATATTTTTTTGTATAAAACAGAACTCCTTCCATCTTTTTTGTTTAGCTACTGCGGTTTATTAAATAGATTTTCTGCAATGCTAATAAGTGATTACATAATATTGTGCATTTCGAAGCTAAACCTTTAATTGTTACTAACAAAACAATCCATCAGATGGGGCAAATATACTACGTCAAGGAAACGATTGACGTATAAGACCTGCTGAAGGTTGTATATAAATTGGGTATAAAATAAAGTTAATTAAGCCGTTTGTGGTTCTAGACTACTTATCTCTTAAAGATTGCGTAATATTTTTTATAACACAAATAGTTTTGGTTCATTATTATTAAGGTCGTTTTCTTAAAAGCATTTGACAATTCTTTAATGTGTTTAGTCGGACGTAGATAAGTGAATTGAAAAGATATCATGATGGCCAGTAATAAAAATATCAAAAAAGACAAAGAAATTAAAAAGGACGCAGATGTATCCTGCTGGAACTGTTTTACAGTGGAAAAATCAGATCAAGAGCCAGTGCCATTATCTAAAGTGCGTAAAGATCAAAGGGATAGGTTAAAATTGTATTCATTCTTAGCTTCGGAACTATCCAAACCGAAAGCAGTATCACTAAAACAGAAAATAAGTGAAAATTATATTGCGGGGAAAAATATAGAACAAGAAATAACGAAACAAACGCCTAATGATCCCATATTAAAAGAGAGTTCAATTCTTTCTGATGACGCATCGATTATTCGAACAGTTATCAACTTTGAAGAAAAATCTCCAGAACCTCCAAATCCTGACGTTAAGATAGTACATAAAGTGCAAATAGAAACTTCTACACCAATTCAAAAACGTGTGCTGCAAAAAAAATACACGAAGTCGTCACATGCGTCACGATTTGAAATAAGCCAAACAGATAATCACATCCCAGACGAAATTCAAACTAATAAAGAAGGACATACAGAAGAATGTATTAGTTCTAATGGCTCGGATTCTGGATATACTGGATCATCTATTACAGTTAGAGAATTCAATGAAAATGAAGCTAACAAAACCTCTCTTCCCTCAACAATTAATAGTGTAGAATTAAAAGAAAACACAGAAGAACTAACCACGATAAAAATGCGGAATGACTTCAAATCGTCATTGCCACTACTGAACTTAGCTAAAAGTAGTACTTTGACAACGTCAACAAAATCACTGCACACTGTATCTGGTAGGAGTCCTTTAAAAATTTTGCGCTGGAGTACGTTTTGCAAGGAAGAAGAAGATTTTTCTTATTCAGACGGTAAGTATTAAACATATGTGTGAAATACCAAGTATGGTCCTGCTAATGTTACGCGCACATTTTTCATTTGTACTGTGAGTCGGCCTCATTTAATCAGCGATATTGCGAGTACGCTTCACATTGTGCCGTATTATAAACGCTATCGTTAAAATATCTGCTCCAAACAGGAAACAATCCCAACATACAGGATACAATGATGTGGATTTCTCTCTGTATTGCCATAGTGTGATTTTATTCAATTCAACGTGGTCGTGTTTTTTCGTTGTGCTTTAAGTGTTATTACAATGACATTAACATCGACTCCTAATTCGGATTTACGTTATTCGTCTTTCGGAAATACTACTAGACACCGAGATGAATCTACTTCTGAGTGTTACTACCCAGTCAACGTCTATAGATCTGAACGTTCTAGAATTTGTGAAAAACGATTAACTTTTTACGACTATATGCGTTGCATCTGTTGTTGTAAATTACCACACAATGAACATTCCGATTTACCAGTAGAGGACTCGTATTCTTCTTTAGTGCGTCCAATTGGAAACAATTATACTATAAGAAATGAAGAAGAAAAACAAGAAGCGCCGGTGGTACAGCTACAAATTCCGAGTGTGACGCAAATTCCAAATTTGACGGTGACGAGAGCCATCGACGACGACTTTTCTAAATCCACAACAAAATTACTTCTCTCAAGCGAAAAGCTCGCAAGCTCCATAGCACTAACTACACCTAAGTATCATGTGAATAAAAGAACCCAGAAATTAGACGACTCTTCAAAAACTTTTAGCAGTAATCAAGAAAAAAGCGGCACTTTGAAACTTGGTGAGAAAGTCTCATTCATTCGCGACGTGTTGGAGTGTCGTGATTCTTTTTTGAAGTCATTGGAATTGTTCGATAACTCCCTAACTAGGGGGAAAAAGTGTCGATTGGTTAAACGTGATGAATGGATAGAATTAAAAAACGACGGTACCAATATGAAATCACCTTTGGCACTGTCTACTTGACTTACATTCACACTATTTCTTTTCTTAATTTTCCTGTAAAGTATTGCCGCACAAGAATCGATTAGACTTATAACCACCACTTACATAGTTGTACCCACAGAACACAGAAAGAGGTGAGAAGGGCGATCGAAGACCGTTTGTACGGGAACTGATGTCACCGGCTGGCCCCCACTACACTTCCACATATTAAATAATAGCCAATCAAACGACGCGAAATCAAAAAATCGAACCAATCAGCGCTCACATCCGTGAGCAACACCGCAATAAGAATCAAGTTTTGGCTAAGTTATGCATTTTATACCTCTTTCTGTGTTCTATTGTTGTACCACCCTTGTAGATACGCACACCCGCATGTTAGACCAGTCACTCTATAAATTTCAGACACTTTTAAACAGCCTTGGCCTTGTTATAGTGAATTACAATACGGACTAACAAAAACATGGTTAGATTAGGAATATATATTTCTAAGGTGTTATTATCGGCCACTGAATGCAATAATCATGTCTAACAAAAATATAATTTGTTGCAGATGAAGTTTACGTTACGGATTCATTATCACCAGGTCACGCCACCCTACCCAGGAGGTCCAACTCTCCATTACCACACGAGAGAGATATGTTGGACAGAGATCGGTTCCCAAGCAACAGAAGTGGGCTGCAGGTAACGTTATGATAATTCTAATAATTCATAGCTTAGCTTAGGCCGCGTTCTTTCATCCATAGTTAATGTCACGTCAAAATTTACTATGTAAATGTGTAAAATTTTGACAAATGGTATGTATCAAATAAGCAGCTTTTAATCTTGATTCGATTCGGTTTGTAATTTCATTGAAATTGGAATACCATTTCTCTTTTAAATAGCTATATTACACGAGAAGTTACTTTCCAATTTACTTTGTCTGATTAGGTAAAAGTAAATCCTACCTATAGTATCCTATAATACCTACCTTTATATCAAGATAACTTATCGCAACCCTTGTTCATGAATGATTACGAATGATAAACAACACAAAACTTGACATTAATCAGACTTTGTAAGTTAATCAGTGTTGTGTTTGTGTTATTTAATGTCCTTATTTAGTGTCTCTTTGATGCAATTAGCAAGCGCCATAAAGCCGACCTTGCGATGCCAGGGATAAGGTTCTGCTGTCACTTGTGAATGTATGTAGAGTAAGACCTCTGTACAGCCTGACAGTATTGTCTCTGCGACCCCGCTGTTCGCTATTGTTTTATGTTTCTACGTCTTGCGACATGCCCTGCGAACAACGAGGTTTTGCAAAACATTTGCTTGTTGTGTGAAAATCCCCCCGTTTATTTCATACGATTAGGCATTTTTGTTTGGCTCATTTGTAACTATTATATCATGACACGAGAATCTGCTAATAGATTTATTCTATTTATCCCCTAATTTAAAAAATAAAGACACAAGTAACTATTGTGAACTTATCTGAAATTGCTCAATAATGTCATAGTTTAAAATAAAAATGTGCAAGTACCTATAATGTAAAAAAACGTAAGATTGAGAGATGGCGCCAGTGTCATGTTTCATATCGCTTCCGTATATTATTTAATTTAAAAAAAGTTATAGTGCATGTTATTGTGAAAATTTCAGTGATTTCAAAAGACTTAAGTACAATAAATAAGGAATATTGTTATCCAAGTGTAATAATAAAGGACTATTTTACAAAATAAGATTAAAGTTTAGTGTAAGAAAGTGCTGCAATTATCGTTAAAATACTCAATAATTCGAACATTTACCTAAGAAACATTGTGTGCGAGTGAAAAAAGGATTGATTTACATATTATAATGTCACAGTGAAGTAAATTTAATCAAATAATAATTAAATGAGTAGTCGATTTTTATATTTAAATTGGAAGGTAAACACGATCAGCTGTTGAGCAATTTTGTTAATGTCATAGTGATTTCATGGCGTGACAATAGATGGCACTGATCTTTACTATTACAAAATTATGTTATAAACGAAGTGAAAAAGTATTATCGGAAAAAATAATTAAGAAATTATACGAAAGTCTATTAGTAAATCTGTGCTTTAAAAACCAATTCTAAAGAAAAGAATTTTGCAAAACAAATTATCACTCATATTGCACATACTAGACCAAAATTACGACCACTGTAGCAGATGCAAATTGGTGCAACGCATAAGCATCACGTAAAACACTCGGAGGGCGCAAGTTCGAATCTGCCACACGGAGAACTTTTTATTATCTTTATTTAATAAAAAAATGAATTTCTTCGACAACATTACATTTCGTCGGCAAATACCAAGATCTAAATCAGAAACAACTTTGGACGACACAATTGAAAATACAAGCAACAATACTTGCAATATGACGATAGATGGCACTAACAATAGCCTTCCAAATCTAAGCTCACAGAGTGTAAATGAAGATGTGATGAAACTAAAAAAACAAATAGAACAGTTAACATTAGACTTAAAAATAGCAAATCAAGAAATAAACAATCTTTCTTTAGAAAACACACAGTTAAAACGAACAATAGAAGAATTGGATAAAAAAAGAAATATTTTACATAAAACTCTCAATAATAGTCTATGTTCTCCGAATACACAGAGACTTAAAACATCGACTCCACAGAATAAATCTACTAAGAAAAACACCAAAATGAATTTGAAAGAATGTTCAGTTAAACAAAACATTCTGGAAAGTCAGTATCAGAGTATCGAAAACCAGCAAAAGGGAAAACATTTTATAAGTTCAAATTTTGATAACATGACAAAACCAAAGTTGTGTATTATAAGCAGCAATAATGAAAATAAATTATTGGATATAGTTGAGACTGTCTTTGTGAACTTTCAAATATGTCACTATAAAAAACCAAATTGTAGTACAATAGCACTTCTAGAAGACTTGGAAAAAAAAGTTGAAACTTATACCCTTGATGATTTTTGCATCATTATGATTGGTGAAAATGACTTTAGAAAAACTTCAAATCATGTTGAAATTATAAAGTATTTAAGGAATAAATTAACTCCACTGACAAACACAAATATAATCATATGTCTACCTACATATATATGCCACAATTATGCAATGCTTTTTAATTACAGAGTCGAAATTTTTAATAATCTATTATGCATGGATAATCAGTTACACGAGTATACTTATATTATTGACACTAATCTAAAGTTGAGCTATGACTACAGCATGTTCTCAAGGAAAACGGGAAAAATAAATAACTTTGGACTAAGGAATGTATTAATTTATTTGCAACAAACAATCGAAAGTATGCCGAATCTTGAATGCAAAGAAAAATTATACAAGACAGATTTTTTTCGAACATAATAACAACATAAACGTATTCCATCAAAACATCGCGGGATTAATTAATAAGTCTAACTTGCTTATCACTCACATTGAACAATTGTATCAAGATGGAAAACCTATTGAAATAATTTGTATAACAGAGCACTTTATATTATCAGGACATGAAAATATGCTATATATTCCCAATTACACACTTGCAGCTTGCTACTCTAGGCAAAACCAGAACCGCGGAGGTGCATGTATATTAATAAAAAACGGACTTCAGTGGAAAGAATTATTAAATGTTTCCAGCTTATCAGTACCCGGTGTAGTCGAACTTTGTGGTATCGAGTTACTAGCACATAATCTTATTGTTGTTTGTATATATAGAATTCCTAAAATGACTAACCTAGATATATTCTATGAAAAGATGTATAATTTGTTACAAAATCTATGTACTAATATGAGCAGGAAAATCATTTTGTGTGGTGATTTTAATATTGATAGATTAAAATGCAATAAAATGTCGTATGAATTTGAAAATTTTTTACACAGTTTCGGTCTTAGTTTGGAAATAAATCAAATAACCAGATTAATGAGCAAAACTTGTTTAGATAATTTTGGACACAACGTGAAACGAGGCTGCAGAGGTGAGGTACTCGATTTAGGCTTATCAGATCATACCGCCCAGCTTCTGAAAGTTCCAGTAAAAAAATATTATCCGATAACCTCATGGAAAATTAAACAGCGTGATTATTCTATTGAGAATATCAATAAATTCAAAAAACATATTCAAAATTTGAAATTCACAGACATGTATCAGACAAATAACCCAAATATGGCTTATAATTACTTTATTGAACAATTTAAATTATTATATGACCTTTGCTTTCCTTATAAAATAATAAAAAAAACTTTAAATAAAAGGGTTAAATGGCTGTCTAGAGGGATAAAACTATGCTGTAAAAAAAGACGAAAACTGTTATGGAATTATCGTTGTTTGCCTTCTTTAAAAAATAAAATAACTTTTCAAAATTACTCAAGTAAACTTAAAAAAATTATTAGGTTAACACAAAAGGCACAAAATAATTATTTGATAAATATCGCAACAAATAAAACAAAGGCAACATGGAACATTATAAATAGAAACAAAAAACAATACCAAAAGGAACATATTTTACAAATAAAAAAAGATGATATAATTATAACTGATCCATCACTGATAGCCAAAAGTTTCAATGACTTTTTCATTGATGAAATAGATGAATCACCTTGCCAAAATAAAAATTATATAAGTAGTAATAGTAATTCGATGTTTATGACCCCAATTTCCTCAGATATAATACAAACAATAATAAAATCATTAAAAAATACGTCAAGTGTAGGATATGATGATATTTCTACTAGGGTTATAAAAGATGTAGCTGTGATTATATCCCCTCATTTAGCATACATAATAAACTTATGCATAACAGAAGGAATATTTCCCGATGCGTTAAAATTGGCTATAATAAAACCTTTGCACAAAAAAAATGACAAAGAAGACATGAAAAATTATCGCCCCATTGCCCTAGTTCCAGTTATTTCAAAAATCTTTGAAAAAGTTATTTATCAGCAAGTATACGGTTTCTTAGAAAAATTTAATATCTTATGTCAGGAACAAAAGGGTTTTCGACAAAATAAAACCCTGAATATGGCCATTTATGATCTAATTAATATAATTGTAACTGAGATGGATAAATCGAATCCTATATGCGCTATATTTACGGACATGACGAAAGCATTCGATTATGTTAATCATAAAAATCTATTAGAAAAATTAAATAGATATGGTATCAGAGGAAATGCACTAAAACTCATAGAATCATACCTTTCTAATAGGAAACAGATTACAGAAATAAGTAAAATATGTCAGAAAGAACGCATAGAAGTAAAATATAGGTCCTCTGTCAGGCTCTTAAAATGCGGTGTTCCGCAAGGCAGTGTGCTCGGTCCCTTACTTTTTCTATTGTATATCAATGACATGCCAAAAAGTGTACATAATCCAATGATACTCTTTGCTGACGATAGCACAGCCATAATAAAATACAATAATACAAAAGATTATAACAAAGATATTAATAATACCTTAAATGACATTGTTAAGTGGTTAAATGAAAATAATTTAAAAATAAATTTAAGTAAAACCAAGATTATGCATTTTGTACAAAAAACAAAAATGACCTAAATAATATTAATGTTACATATAAAAACCAAATTATAGAAGAGACTGAAGTAACGAAATTTTTGGGCCTTTTCATTGATAGCAAATTAACGTGGAAGAATCAATCAAGGGAATTGTGCAATAATTTGCATAAATCAGCATTTGCTTTATTTCAATTAACAAAAATAGTTAACAGGCATGCAGTTCTATCTGCTTATCATGGATTAGTTGGATCTGTGCTAAGATACGGAGTAATCTTTTGGGGAAATTGCACTGACCGTGTAGACATTTTTAGAGCTCAGAAAAGATGCATTAGAGCAATGTGTGGGCTTAATATCAGGGATAGCTGTACGCCTTACTTTAAATCACTCAAAATATTGACAGTACCTTGTATTTACATCTTGGAGATAGCAGCATTCGTGAAAGCAAACAAAAACTTATTTCTAAAGCTAGACTTTCAAAGAAACCCCCCGCGGGGTCAATACGTTAATAAGCTAAGAATACCACAATGTAAAACAGCCCTCTTCCAAAAAAGCGTACTGCATCTGGCGCCTCGTATTTACAATAAGATTCCTGATTCTTTGAAACAATTAAATTTGACTATTTTTAAAAGAAGACTGCGTAAACTTTTGATTGACAAATGTTATTATTCCATAAATGAATTTTTAAATGACAATACAATGAAATGAAATGTGATTTTGAATTATTGATTATGGTTACTAATATCATTTAATATCTTTTAAAGCTCTATTTGAAATAATTCTATGTTTTATTATTATTAATTTTATTTTATATTTAATGATTATTATTTTAATTATTATTAAGTAACCTATGAACAATTTTCTATTCAATTTGACAATTTATTAAATATTTGTTTTTATTCACAATTTTAATCTATTCTAAGTACAATTATTGATATGTGATTATTACTATTTTAAAGTGTCGTAAAAAATGCTATTTAATTTGACAATTTACTAAATGTTTGCTTTTATCACAATTTTAATTTTTTTTAAGTACAATTACTGATATGTGACAATTTTGGATTTTGTAGATTACAGTACCTACCTAATTTGTTTCACACCCATATAGGGTAAAATATGAATGGACATTATAATTGTGTAACACCAAATTATGAACTCATATTTGAACAAATAAATTGATTGATTGATTGATTGATTGATTGATTAAGCGATGTGTTTAGATACCGTTAACGTTCCGAAATAAGCAAATAACATATCCTACCTATATTTATAAATGTGAAAGTTTGTATGTTTATTCGTTACTCGATGACGTAAAAATGGCTGTACGGATTTTAATGAAATTTGGTACACATAGAGTTGGAATGAGCCTTAAGATTCTTTATTTCCCGGTGAAATATTTGGTTCCTAAAGGTTTCTCAAAAAACTATATTTAACGAAGACGAAGTCGCGGCCGATCGCTAGTATTTTACATAAAACATGCAAATTCACGTTTAATGTTATCTAAACTAACATTTTAAAATAAATAAGTAAATGAATATTCTGTGGCCACAGGTAAAATAAATATCATGAAAATTAACAAAATATATTCGTAAACAAATATCCAACTCTACGGAATTGAATATTAACTAGCTATTAGCTTGTTTGTTTTAAACAGCCGTACAAATGATTGAAGTGTTCTATTTAAGTAATAAGCATGTTTAATTCACGCTTAATACGTTCCGTAAATTAAACTCTTTTGGATTCCTATTGAGCCGGGCGTGGTCACTTTGAATAATACGATGTTGATATACCTACCTACGTAGATTTGTACAAGTGTTGTAACATTAATCCCTTATAAAGTGTCGCGGGCGTGGGTAGATCCGATAAAACGTTATTACTCAATGCCATATGCGGTCGTTTGGCCCGTTTCACATGCATGTACTGCACCACTATAGTTTTATTTGCATGGTACAATATCGACACATAAAACATTGCTAACGAAGGAAGATTTAGTTCTTAGATTTAGAATTCATGTGCTTATCCATATAAGTTTTAGAGTTGTGCTAAATAAAAGTAATGTTGGATAAATCAAAATAGAATACATTTCATTTCAATTATCCAAAAATTTATGCTAAAGTTTAAGTTTGGGAAGATATTTAAAATTATTAAAACTAAACTTTCTTTAAAATACTCATCAAAAGAGTCTAAGCAACATGAACTTTTTTTTACTTTTGGCCGATTTTTATGTTCTTTTGTTGATAAAAAAAAAACAATTTGATTTATTAGTAGTACTTACTGCACAAAAATACATTTGAGTAAATAATAGATTTCAGTACGTTAATATTAAATATCTACTGATAAAACTTCAAGTTTGCGTAAATTATGCATGTTGCTTAAACTTTTTTGATGAGTGTATGTATATCCAGTCTGGATTTTTACTCAAACTTCCGTTTGCATTATACAAGCACTTAAGTTCTTACCTGGCGATTAGACGAATATGTATGTATTAAGTATTTATTTACTTCCATAAATAAGATTATAACTCTCCGCCATACATACCTAATCGCTTAAAGCTCATACTTTGAGGCAAAGACCAAGCTTTTGTCAGTCAGGGCACATTGTCAAGAAATGAACGAATCTGCCCGCTCACCCTGGCAAACAGACTGATTTCTCTCGTATCTATCACATAGTGGTCCAAATTACATAACTATGTAGGCTGCATTACTGTTCTTACATATCCAAAACAGTTACCTGTTAGACTTGATTGATAATACCGGTCGGACGCATATTTAACTAGTCATTGCGTTACTACATTGAATGGTATTATCGTTTCTTACTTTGAAAATGTCTTTTTTTGCTGCTTCTCCAAAACATTTAGGATGAAAGGTTAAACGTTTTGTGTTAGGAAAAATTTAAAAGGAAATAGAATCTATCCTAGATGGCCAAAGGGCAATTTTGTGATACCCCTTTTCTTACAAATTGATGTTTGTACTTTTTTAATTTAATGCTTGTAAAAGTAACGTGTTCAATTAATTTATTTCAATCGCAATTATACTTTACTAAATCTGCTCCAAAAGGACGGAACAGTCTTTAGTAAACAAACTATAATAAAATCACGTCGAGTACTCGGAACACAAACACGTTTGCCAGATATCGAGTGACACCAGATAATGCAAGCAGACACAAACGGCAGTGTGGAGTTTCGTGTGCCATTTTATTATAGCGTAGCTGCGACCGTGAGATCGGACATCGAAAGTGCGATTGACACGATAATATCATAATTAAATCGAATGTTATTCATTGTAATAAACATAGTTGCAGTTTGAGTTGGTAGGTCCCTCTACAAATTTTAAAATACTACCTATAACATAAAATACTGCGTATCGTATCGGGACGGGATAAACCATAAAGTTAATTATTCTACAGATAGTTCGACACCTACGTCATTCATTTATTTTGTAATAAATAAATGATCGTGTTTTGTTTTGGAAGCCGAATCACTGCATTTCGAATTTTAAAACAAATCTAGATATTATTTTTATTTTTTTCTTTCTGTTTCCAGGCTCGTTCCGAATCTATGGCATCGGTGTACTCGGGTGCGGGCGAAGGGACCCGATGCAATGTGACCGTTCGAGGCGAAGTGCAGTTCTCGTTGCTATACAACTATAGGCTAGGTGCCCTGGAAGTAGGCGTCAAACGCTGCAGAGATCTCGCCCCGGTGGACACAAAGAGGAACCGGTCCGATCCCTACGTCAAGGTAAATAAAGATTTAATTTTCTATCAGCATAACATGAACAACATTAAGTTTTCCTATATAAATTTTGGTTAGAGTAGAATGAGGCTAGCATATTCGTAGAATGAAAGCCTTTAAATAAATAAAGATCAAAAAAGGTACTAAAAAAGTAAAAAGGTCTCGAAAAATTGATATTTATATTTACGCCCACCAGCCAACTATAAGTCATTTCTATTTCATATTTTAATAGAATGCAATTAATACACAATCTAATGTTTTCGGAGTAGGACCTACCTATTTGACATCATATTATATCGACTCTGCTTCGACTTGTATTGAAATTTTCCACTCATTATGCAGTTGTTTCGAAACATCAGTAACGAAACTGCACCAATTTTACATCATAATATCCACGACGAATCGATTCGTTGATATTTAAGTACGACACTAGACTTATTTAATGAGATGGCGTCTTTGAACTCCTACTTATAGTAATAGTTTATAATTTTCTATGTAAATATCCTATTTTTTTTTTCTTCTAAAGAGATGCCATTTAAAAAAACATTTGTGTTTAGTTAAATTAAAGTTCAGCTTAAGCAGTTAACGTGAAGTCATGACATGACACAACACAAATCGGAGGTTAACTTTTTGTATGGCTATTGAGACATTATGCATAAATGATTGCTTAATGGTTTTATGTCAAGAACGATCCTTATTATGGCTACGACTCAAGAAAATTTAAGTTGTTGGTTAGTAATGTATTATTAAGTATGTAAAGTACATTTATTATATGTTTTTGCACCGTCAAGTTGGTTTCCGCGTTACTAAATTAGTGCTCTTAAAGAGATTAAACTACTTATAGACTAAAGATAGGCTTAATAGCTCAACTTAACCGCCTACCTACTGTTCAATCATTTTGTAAACTAATTAGTTTGAATTATGTGGTCAAGGAGTGCAATGGATAATTTTTGTCGTTACCAACTTATTAATTGGTGATTATAACGATCGGACCTAATTTACCGAAGTTTAAAGTCTTTTTTAACCGATTTCGGACGGGGTCAAGTTTTAAACACGTATACCGATTAGAAATGAAAATGTATTGCAAGTTACAATCTTGACCCCATCCGTCTTCCAAATCATGCTAGGATTATCGCGATTTTGGTTGGTATATTTATGGTATTATTTTTTACTTTTTAGTCCATTATCGATTAATAAGTCGGTTTTTATTTTTGGTTTAAAATAAATTTAATTTATCAATAGTTTTACAATTATATTGGCTTTATTTTTAAATATGACAGCAATTAGTATATCCTTAGTAAGCAGTGAACACAGAACTTTACAAGGCACGGTCCTTGCATACACGTAATAAAATTAGCACTTCACATGAATAAACTTAACAGTCGTATATCCTCTTAATGATTTTTAAGGAATGAAAATTAGAGACTGATGTCAAGTTTCCAAATAACAATTAAGAATAGCCAAATGAAGTTTCGGTAGGTATAACAATAAACAATAATACATTCAATCCCCAGGTATACCTACTACCGGACAAATCTAAAGCGGGCAAACGCAAGACCAAAGTTAAAAAGAACACACTGAGCCCTGTATTCGAGGAGACGCTGAGCTTCGTACAGCCGCTGGCCTCGCTGTCCACGCGGACACTGTGGCTGAGCGTGTGGCACGCCGACATGTTCGGCAGGAACGACTTCCTCGGTGAGGTGACGCTGCCGCTGGCCGACGTCGTGTTTGACGACCCCGCGCCCACGTGGCACAAGTTGCACGAGAGGGTGAGTTCCGCCTTTAACCAATCACAGCTGAGCTACTCGCTGTCCGCGCAGACACTGCGGCTGAGCGTAAGGCACGCCAAGATGTTGAGCAGAAAACGACTCCCTCGGCGAGTTGAAGCAGCCGCTGGCCGACGTCGTGTTCGCCGACCTCGTGCCTACGTGGCACAAGTTGCACGAGAGGGTGAGTTCCGCCTTCAACCAATTACAGCTGAGCTACGTACGGACGCTGGCCTCGCTGTCCGCGCAGACGCTGTGGCTGAGCGTGTGGCACGCTGATATGTTCGGCAGGAACGAATTCCTCGGCGAGGTGACGCTGCCGCTGGCCAACGTCGTGTTCGACAAACCCGCGTCCACGTGGCACAAGTAACACGAGAGGGAAAGTTTATTGTCTCATTTACATTCAGCCTATTTGACCCGCAAATAGCACGGATAAAACCCTAAAATGTGATGAAGAACACCGTAAGCACCATATTCGAAAAGATGCTGAGCTAAGTGCAGCCGCTGGCTTCTTTGACACAAGTTGCACGTGGTAGTGCGTCAAGAAACCTGTAATTTTCTCTCTGTAAAGTTTGAACACATGCAAAATGGTAAATTGGTATTTAACTGGCAGTAAAGTGGGTGAGCAGGTGTTTATAGATATACATAAATCTACGGCAAAATTAAGCAACAAAACAGACAACGAGTAAACACCAGAACGAGAGGCGGGGCCGCTCGGCATGAGTTCATATCTGCCCCTTCTTTAAGAAAATACCAAAAATATTAAAGCCATATTTACTAATTACTATGATTTTTTTCTATGCCATTTTATTTACATTTTACTGTTCAATAATTTTCAGACGGAACAATTTGACGAGCAACAGGGCTCCCGGGGCGACTTGATTGTTGGCCTGAAGTTTGAACTACACGAAACCGGAGCGATGCGCGGCAAAGGCACCTTGCACGTGCTCGTGAAGGAGGCCAAGAATCTCGTTGCTACCAAACCCACCGGACTGGCTGACGTCTTCTGCAAAAGGTATCTATTAATATAAGACACTAGGCGGCTATAGTATTGATCCATTCTTCGAGAGAATAAAGCGATGCGCGGCATGTGCTCGTGAAAGAGGCCAAGAATCTCGTCACCACCAAACCCACGGGACTGGCTGACGTCTTCTCTAAAAAGGTATCTAATAACCTTCACTCTGACAGTATGTTTTAGATCATCACATTCAAATGTCAAATATTCATTGTAAAAGTGACTCTGCAACAAATATGAATTAAGAACAAATGTAGATGTTTCATAAAATTAATGAAATATACATGTAATCTCGCTATTTTAGACCCCCGGTTCCCCTAACATGAGCACCGCGATATGCGCTATATAGCTCGTTTTTACTATGAATTTTGATAGTTAGTAGACACTATATAAAAGTCATATAATGTAATTTTGTGATGCTCATGCTCTGGGGCCAGGTGTGGTTACGCTAGTCTTATAAGAAAAGAAACCGATATAACAAAACGGCTCGACCGATTTTCGTGAAATTTTATATGCATATTCAATAGGTCTGAGAATCGGACAACATCTATTTTTCATCTTACTCAATGTTAATGGTTAAATTAATTTTTTGGGCAAAAATTTTTCTTTTTTATTTTTTTATGATACATCATACAAAAATACATACAACCCTAAATTTTCACCTTTCTACCACCAACGAATATGGCGGTTTTATGGCGGTACGAAGTTCGTTGGGATAGCTAGTAAATAATTACTATATAAATATAATAATAATAATTTATTATTGTGATCTGATCTAAATAACAACCTTTTTGTTGTCACAGTTACCTGCTTCCTGAGAGAGGCCGGCTCGCTAAACAGAAGACCAGCGTCTCCCGACGAACACTGAATCCGCGCTGGGAACACACCTTCACGTACCGCGGACTCAAGATGCAGGAGTTGAGCGAGCGGGCGCTCGAGCTCAGTCTGTGGGACCGCGACCGGCTCGCCTCCAACGACTTCATGGGCGCCGTCAGACTGTCCCTGGGCACCGGTAATGTACCATACTCCCAAGACTACTAACTAAAATACTCAGAGAGGTCGGCTCGCTAAACAACAAGTGCTAGGAGCACAGCTTCACGTATCGCGGGCATAAGATTCAGGAGCTGAGTGAGCGGGCGCTCGAGCTCAGTCTGTGGGACCGCGACCGGCTCGCCTCCAACGACTTCATGGGTGCCGTCAGACTGTCTCTGGGCACTGGTACTGTACCATATACCCTCAATATACAATACTCGAGTCAAAAATTAGTTAAATACTAGTACACGACTCAAGGCTCGCTTTTTACGCCACAAAAAATATTAACAATTATCAACATTTGAATCACACGCTTCTTGCTCTGTCGTCATTTTGACGAGTCGAGCCGGAGACGCGATGCGCGGGCGACCAGCATATCGGGTATAGCAAGATTAGTCGACAACGTGTAGAACCATAGAAGCATAAGAATAGAGTAGGGGAGATATTATAGACTCTACTACAGGTGGAAGTGTCCCTCTAATAAAAGGAGAAAGAAGATTTCCACTCTATTCTTATACCTCTGTGTGTAGAATACCGGTATAGTAGTGTGCGTGTCTCCCTCCATACTAATGTATGTGAGATACTCCGCGGCGACTAGTTTCCGAAACTGGCTTAACACTGTCTACGGCACCGCCTATAATATAGGGAACGTAGCAGATCACTGTTAACTCGAGCTCAGTCCGTGGGATCGCGACCGGTTCGCCTCCAACGACTTGCTCGTTTTACTCTTGTCAAAATAGTCGTGATCACGATTGAGTATCTGGGGAGGGGGCAGATGTAGCTTGCCTTACGATTTTTCGCCCCGTAGCTCTATTCGTGGTATGCCTAGTGCAATCATTAATAGGGGTTCCAACACAGACACACAGGCCTTCGCTATGGATGGAATAGGAAGATTGAGCCATGCATGACCCACCACGAGGGCTCATAGTGGATTGGTGGGTGCTTACGACTACACAGCCGGGACCAACGGCTTAACGTGCGTTTCCAAGCACGGAGAAGCTCGAGATAGTAAATTTTTGGCCATCCATCTGATTTCAGACTACTGCAAAAGTTGCTAAACCTCAACGATCGCAGGCGCGCCATGGAGTTCCTTGACCTTTATAAGGCCTTTACAAGATACAAACTTGAGTAGAATATGAATTGAATACTAGTTCGCGACTCAAAGGTTACATCACGCTCATAACGCTACTGAAAATTTTGTCAATAGAGATAGTGACAGGGTAAAACAAACGAAATTCTATTTAGTGGACACCAAAAAATACTCCCATAGACAAGGCTACTGCGCAGTAGTTATTTTACATACAAAAACGTCTACTGCACAAGTTTATTTGCCTGCGGTTTTACTCAAGAAGTTTACCGCAACCTATACAAACCATATTGACCGTAATAAAAATATGTTTTGATTTACATTCTTATTATTGCATAATATGTTTTGCACTGATTTATTTAATTCTCGACGTTTCGCATCCTTTTCAGGCTGCGTCGTCAGAATTATGATTTTATTTGTCGAGCTACCTTCGAAAGATTTTTTTTATTGAGCTTTCGAATACTTGAAGAAACAAATAAGTCAGTGCATCTTTACCTTTGAAACTTGTTTTATTTAATGAGTGGTGTGCGTGAAAACCTAAGATACAAATAACATTTTCCCCCTAATGAATAAACGAAGACTACGCTTGGATTAGTTACTCCATGTTTTGTCTATTGAATGACAAGTGCCATTTAAGTGACATGAAAAAAACATGGCGTAGCTTGTCTAAGCTTATTCTTTGTTTATTAATAAGGAGGATTATGTTTAATATTTTTTTATTTAACCGATTCGTGAGAAAAATAACGTGCCCTAATTCCAATTTCATGCTCATTATCAAACTCAGCTAAGTTCCGGCAAAGGAATCGGAAAATTAATAAGTATAAACACTTCATCCGCAGGATCATACATGGGAGCAAATGTCAACTGGATGGACAGCATCGGCAAAGAAGTCACTCTATGGCAGACGATGATGCAGCGACCCAACTTCTGGGTAGAAGGCTCCGTGCCACTTCGGCCACAACTTCACAACTGAGCGATATAAATACTTACCACTATACCAATCTCTGTACTTTTGAAAGAACCTGATAGAAAGTTGCGATCGTATTTTGTTTCATCGGTACTTTTTTACAGCAGCGCCTCTTGCGGAAATTACAAAGAAACACACATTTTTCTTAACAATATCTAGGTAACGAATTTACATCACTCAATTCTTTTTTAAGTTAAATTTGTTAGTAAAACAACGAGACGAGACTAAAAATGTAAAAATAATTCGTGATGACAGAAGTTTAAGAAGTAATTGTGCTTTTTGAAAATCTCATCTTAGCAACCTGTATATTTTGCTTATATAGCTACAGACTAAGTCTCTGGGGTTCTTTCCATGATTTCTTGACGCGAACCAAAAGGAAAGGTCGAAGTAGGATGTCTCTCTACACTATGTATAGCGATGTTTCACTCTTATAAATGAGGAAACAATTTGATCTCTACCTATTTGAGACCAGTGGCGGTGTTAAAGTCCGTGCACATAAAATTATAGTGCTAGGATTTAGGTGGACTACTTGCAAATGCGACTGACATAAACTTCCATTGAAAGACAATTACTACGAGTATTTTTTTATTGGAAAGTGAGTATCTATATCTATACAAAAATTATTTGTATATTGTTATTTTATATTGTTAGATTTCAAACTAAAATCTAAAGACCCGCCTGAAACATTCCATTAAGTTTCCAAATTGTAGATTGAAATGATGATTGTTTAAATCTTTTTTTACTTGTACCTACCTAAGAATCTGACCTAAAAAGATAGGTCAAGGTCACATACCTACTTTGAATAATGTTTTTACGTACTATCGACATCACATCGAATTTTTATATTTTATTTTCGACTTCGAAAGTGGGTTGAAAACGTTATAAATATATTTTCAAATTCTTCTCTGTTACTACAAATACTATCACTATTTCACCTGTTAACTTGTAAAATAAGTGCCAACTACAACTACAAGACTACTATAAAAATATTTATTTTCATATAAGCTATTTTCTTAATTGGGTATCATTTAAATAAGTCAAAGTAGAATTTTATTATTATATATTATAAATATCAAAAACGGCATTCCAGTTTCCAGATTAAGTGGAAATAGTATCACGATAAGATTGAACATTACATATACTTATTGACAATAATATTATAAATATATAAAGACTTATAACTGCCTGCTGTATGTTGTAAGTTTAGAATAATTAAGTTTATGCATTTAAAAATAGACGATATAATGTACAAATTAAGTTGTCATGAGTATAGAGAAAAGTGCTCATGTCTTTTGTGATCTAATTACTACTTATGTACACATTTTAGCAGAAGTTTTGTGATTGATATGAATGTATGATGAATGAATCAAATATATTGAGAGTACTTTTTTCTTAAGTAAGTATAACGCAATGAAACGTCCATAGTTTAAGAATATTAATAAATAATGCTCAGGTTGCAATACCTATTTAGTAAAAAGGTTTATAAATCGTAATATGTATGTTTTGTATTAAAATTAAAATACTATTTTGAAACTCATCATGATTAAAAATAAAAGGTTTAAATAGTATTTTCATATGTTTATTTTATTCAGTCCTTCCCCCGCCTAGCGCACCCATAATGTGCCGACCCGCATCGGTACCACATAAGAGTACCGATTACATACATAATCTTGGTAACCAGCTCTAACAGGTCACTTTTGATGCAAACTAATGAATTGAAAAATTTTCTTCAGCAAAGCGTAAAGTTATAACTAACTATTCTATTTTACCCAATGGAGCTATTAATATATACAACCTGCTGTTTGATGTGCGTAAGGTAGAGGATATTTCACCAGAAAGACACTTCGATTCGAGCGGGAAATCCGTTACTTATAGGTACATAATGGTGTCGATTCTGGCATGATTCTCTAAACCTAAACTTAAATTTGAGAATAGTGTATCCTTGTCATTCTCTATACAGAATGAAATGGAGGGGAAGGGACTGATGTTTAAAGTTTTGAGAATCATGCCAAAATCGACACCACTAAGTATATTTTCCATTCATACATTTATATCATATTATTATCTTCGTTTCATGTATCCCAAGGGTGGATCCAGGGACGCGGTCATGACTAGGGTTGCCTCCCGTACTTTATTATAAAGTATATATTGTACGTTATTTCTGGTAATTATACTCTATACTTTATGCTAACAATAAAGTACAAGATAATTAAGTTTACATAAAATATACAAAAAGAGGTAGATATGAATATTTTTTACGTAAAACAGACAGACAGTATGAATATAACGCCCTTAGCTAATTCAACATTGCAACATTTTTCCGTCAGGATTGCAACGGAACCCTTCCGTCTTGACAGACGGTAGGGTTCCGTTTTTTCCTTTTGAGGTACGGAACCCTAAAAAACATGTCGATATAAGTACCTATTATTTTATTTAAACCCATTTGACCCAGCGAACTTCGTACCGCCATAAAAAAAAATAATTAAAAAAACTTTGTCCAGCGGACAAAATTGTGAATCTAAACCATTCTCAGATCCCCTTGAACACACACAAAAATTTTCATCAAAATCGGTCCAGTCGTTTAAGAGAAGTTCAGTGACATACACACTCACAGAAGAATTATATATATAAAGATATTTTAATGATGTCACGTTTCTATGCTAGGCTTATCTTATTGTAATGTAATTATCCTGCTAGCTTACCCTCTCTTTGTTCATAAAATAATCCGCGAATAATTATCGATATCTTAATGCAGTTGTTTTCATGTTGTTTTCATATCACGTGTAATTGTTTTGGTCTATGGATTAAAAGAATATAATACATCTCTATCTAAAAATGCAAGCCGACTTAATAATGTTATTAAGTCGCATTTTGGAAAATGCGCCACTTATTTGAAAGTATTCCAAAAGTACATTCTGTGACGTCTAGCCATACAAAGCCTATAATTGAACGTTCCTCTTGTAACATTTAAATCACGTCTTGGATATGGGCGCATCATAGTTGTACTTAGGGCGAACGCCTCATCTCCCACAAAGACATAGGGTAAAGCAGTGCTATTAGTATCTGAAATCGGCTAAGGTTCCCCTGAACATCCCTATGTTCAAAGGATTCTCCTGCATTTTTATATAAAAGCTCGAATCTGAAATATTGCTGAGTCACCGAATCTACCGTTTGCTCCAACATCAATTAATACAACTTTGAAGCTGCTGTCACAAATCACCATTAAAACAAGAGAAATTAATCCTTTATAATTATAAAGAACATTGATCTTTAATTAAAGAACATTGATCCACTATTATTAGGTGCTATAATTCCAAATGTTTACCACCGCAAGCACCGATACAGTGTAGAAAATGTGCTTTCTTTGGGAAATCATTTGCCACTTTTCTTTTGTTGGTTCTGGTAGGCATTTTTCTTTTAAGCAAAACCATATTGCGGCACATACTTAATTACTTACTTCTCGAACTATTTCAACGATAGTGTTAACACCAATTTTAACTACGTATACAGTTCGGCGAATGAGCAACCCGCTGCTAAATATCTGAAACAAATGTAATATTTTTACAGGTCTGGATCTTCAAAAAAAGTAGAGAAATATCCGCCGAATATTGATGCTTTTGTAAAGGCTCATAGAGCAAAGAAAAGGTAATCAAGAGCGGATCCACAGGAAAAAAGAAGATTCCTTAATACATTAAGTATCTTTTATTTATAAAAAATACCGTAGCTGTTAATCACATTATTAGTTTACATTGCGGATGGTAAACATTATTAGTTTACATTGCGGACCCACCTTGATAGATTATTTTCTTCATTCTCTGTAGAAAATGAAGAAAATGAGAATACTGTAAGAAGTGTAAGTACTGTCACATTACCATCTGTGTTCTGTGTTGCATTGCGGACCCACCATACCACAACGGGTATGGCCAGTAGTTGTTAAGAAACAACCATTGCAGATCCACTATACACTACTTTGGTTTGGTCAAGAGACCAAAGCTGCCGTCCACGAGCTAAAACGCGACTAAATGACAAAACCAACTTTTGAGATATGGCCAAAAAACGGCGCGTAAACTTTAAATTATTGTGTAACCATTCATAACATGATGGATTTTTAGACTTAAAGATAAGAATACTTGTTGACGACTATAGAGAATTAAAAACAGTATAAGATACAATTTAAGACTGAATCATCATCATCATCAGCCTATTAATGTCCCCACTGCTGGGGCACAGGCCTTCCCTAAGAAGACTGTAAGACTGAATAATACATAATAAATGTATATATATAATGTAGCCTAGCTAGATGCCTAGCTAGCAGCGTAACTCAGTTGCCTAGCTAGCAGCGTAACTTGTTGCCTAGCTAGCAGCCTAGCTGGTTGATTAGCTAGTTGCCTAGTTAGCAGCCTAGCTTGATAGGCATCAGCTTGATAGAAAGGCTTCTAGCAGCCTATTTAGTTGCCAAGCTAGCATCCTAGCTTGTTGCCTAGCTGGCAGTGTAACTTGTTGCCGAGCTAGCAGCCTAGCTTGATGCCTTGCTAGCAGCCTAGCTAGTCGCCCAGCTAGTTACATTGCTAGCGGCCTAGTTTGTTACCTTGCTAGCAGCCTAACTGCCTAGCTAGTTACCCTGCTAGCAGCCTAGCTGCCTAGCTGGTTGATTAGGTAGTTGCCTCGCTAGCAGCCTAGCTCGTTGCCTAGCTAGTTGCCCAGCTAGCAGCCTAGCTTGTTGCCTAGCTATCAGCGTAACTTGTTGTCTAGCAGCAGCCTAGCTGGTTGATTAGCTAGTTGCCTAGCTAGCAGCCTAGCTTGTTGCGTGGCTAACAGACTAGCTAGTTACCTCGCTAGCAGCTAGGCTAGTTGCCCAGCTAGCAGCGTAACTTGTAGCCTAGCTTGTTGCCTAGCTAGCAGCTTAGCTAGATGCCTAGCTAGCAGCTTAGCTAGTTGCCTAGCTAGCAGCCTAGCTGGTTGATTAGCTAGTTGCCTAGTTAGCAGCCTTGCTTGATGCCTTTCTA